ACAAGGAAGCCTCGGGGGTGTAGGAGGGGTCATAGAGTGAGACTCTGTTGAATGTGCTTCTTTCCCTCTCCCTCTCCTTCCTGAAATAAATAAATATACTTTTTATAAAGATCGTGTACTAAACAATGCAATTATGTTCAAATTATAAATAACAGCCAAGGGGAAATAACGGTGATAAGGAGTAAGCAAGAGACAACGTGTGATTGAAATTAGAATTTGCAAAAGCTAAGGATCTAAAGTGGAGAAATGCATATACGTTACATTGATGGATGCATCTGGTTGTCTATCACTTCCTTAGCTGCCATCTCTCCCTGTATAAACCAATCTCTCCTCAATAAACAAGGGTTATGTGTTCATGCAAGTGCAATGTATGTGTGTAAGCACGTGAGTGTTTGTTTCTTCCTTCTAGTCTGTAGTCGGCTGGTCGGTTTGTCTGGGGTGGAAGTGTTTATTATCATTTAGGACAAGGTAATCCATGCATTTGATTTTAAACTCTGAGAGGCCTGGCTGTACACAAGGTTGCTTCACAGTTCTCTCTGGGGTCAGGCCAGAGACATGGACTGATTCCAGATGACAATTAGAGAAGTAGAAGAGCTAGAAAGGAAGATACCCACTTTCTTGGAAATATTCTCAAACTGAAATGAATCTTAAAGATCACCGCATCCATCCTGTGCATCTGCGCATTTCACAGATAAGGAAATCGTGGATGACCAGAGAGGGAAAGTAATTTGCACAGAATCACACAGCTATTATTTTTACTAGTCTTTCTTAAGTACCTACTACATGCAAGGTATTATTATATTGAGGTGGTGCCAAGAATAAAGCATGATTTCCACATTCAAAAGATTGGTAATCTAATTGAGCAGCATGTAAATATCCTATCACATAAAACAGAGTAAAATTAGAGTTTAAAAAAAAAATAAAAGCTTAACCACCAGCCTGTGGGATGGTGGTTAGGGAGGCTGGACCCCGCATGGTCAACTGCACCTTTGGAGTCCTGAATCCAGCGGCTTGGGAAGCTTACTTGTCATGTGTATGCATTCCCAAAATCCTGAAAGGAGGCAGAAATGGAAGAGAAGGGATTGAGGTGTCATCATTCCCCTTCGGAGTGCCTTCTCACTTCTGTCCTTTCTTTTTGTCTCTCCTGTGAGTATACATGCCCTCTGGCAAAAAAATAAAAATAAAAGAATGATAGAAGAATTCCCCTTCGGAGTGCCTTCTCACTTCTGTCCTTTCTTTTTGCCTCTCCTGTGAGTATACATGCCCTCTGGCAAAAAATAAAAATAAAAGAATAATAGAAGAAGTGAAAAGTATTTCTGGTTGGGAAACTAGAAAGCATTTCACAAAGAACATGCCTTCTGAGCTGGACAGGAAAGGATAGCAAGATCCAGGTCACATAGTACCTACGATGGTACACTTATCATTGCCACCTGTGGTCTTGGGCACCCCTCTTGGCAAACCACAGCAAAATACCAACCTAAAAGAGTAGGGTGAGAAGGAAAACAGAGAAGAAGCACAAATGGGGAAATGACAAGCAGAAAGCAGGCACCTACAGGTGATAAGGGACATCTCTGGGGGGAAAAAAATGATGCGGTGATAAGGGACATCTCTGGGGGGAAAAAAAAAATGGAGTACCTTCCTGTGTATAAAGTAACCAGCAAGTATTTTCCAATCATGCTAAGAAGGTAAAATGATTCCTTAGGGGTATTCAGTAGATGATTATTGCTGCGCTAACCCTCTTAGGTAGAGACTAGATCTATGTCAGGTTAAGGTGGGTGAGACCAGCTAAGGGAGAAAAAGATAAAGAAAAACAATTTTCAACTAAATTGCAGGAACCAGCAGTTAGCGTAATGGCTATGTCGCTGGATTCCCACGTAGTCGACCGTGGGTCGCATCCCGGACCCGGTGGCTTAGAACTCACGCCGGGCGCATGTGCGTGCGTGCCCAAGATCCCGAGAGGAGAATGGAGGAGAAGGGATTGCAGCGTGACCATCCCCCCTGGTGGGTGATTTCTCGCTTTCTGTCTCTCTGTCTCTCTCTGTCTGTTTGGCGAGCACGCGTGCCCTATAGCGAAAACCTCTCAAAAAAAAACTGAATTTCAAAATGTATAGAGGATAGAAGAAATGACACTGTGAAGTCTGGAAATACTAAGCTGGGTCAATGGGGAGAATAATAATATGACATTAACCAATATGGATGCCGTGTGATTATTAAAGACATGAGGTCTGGCTGGCCCATGGTCTAGTGGTTAAGGGAGCCAAATTCTAAGTGGCTAACTGTAGTTCAAGTCCCAGACCCACTGGCTTAAATTTGTACATTCTCCAAATCCTCAACAAGATGAAGAAATGGATGAGAAGGGATTGTGGTGTGACCACACCTCACTGGGGGAGTGCTTTCTCCTTTTCTCCCCCTTTCTGTCTCTCTCCCTGGCAAATGCATGCAACCTCTAGCAATTAAAAAAAAAAAAAAAAAAAAAAAAAAAAAAAAACCACAGTTGGGGTGAGATGACTCAGCAAGAGTGTTCAGGGTGAGAGGAGGACTTGGGCCAAGACTGGGAAACTTCAGCCTTTCAAGGGCAGGATGTAGCAATGATGACTCAGCACTGACTTGGATGACTGCAATTTCGGGGCATGATAGGAATGGAGGACACAGTGCAGAAGACTGGAGTAGATGATACAAAACAAAGAACTGCCCTTTCACCTGAATTCCAGGCAGTTTTATAGGAGCAGAAGCTACTCCGCCCTGCTGTAAGTGGAGGTGAGTATAGAGGGCCGAGCTGTGGCAGCACATACTACATCACTGGACAGAGGAAACTCCTACAGACCAAAGGGAAGCTCGTGGCAGGTGTGTCACCCTAGGACAGCTAAAGAGCTTCATTAAAAGCTTCATCCCCCATCCCACCCCTAACCACACATATCCTCCACCACCACCACCATCATTTGAAAATAAAACATTTAATTAGAAGACCAAACGTCCCAGTTTACACCTGTTGTCCCAGCATAATAATTTATGGCATTCCTTTGTCACTCTCAAAAGTATCCCAGTTCAGAAAACACATTAGTGGTTGCTGAAGGATAGGAATAGCTGGGGCAGGGACAGCAAGAGGGAGATCACTGTGGTGAAATACCCCACAGCTTGACTGTGCTGGTGGTTACACAAACCTACACGTGTGATACATCGCATGGAACACACATTGTACCAACTTCGGCTTCTTGGTTTTGATGTGCCACTGGAAGAAACCAAGCGAAGGGTACCTAGGTCCTCTCTGTCCTATCTTCACAACTTGCTGTGTGCCTATAATTAATTCTGCTTTTAAAGGTTTCAAAAATCCGCCGAGTGCTGGAGCAGGGTCTGTGCTGAACAGAGGTGTGCACGGCCAGCCTTTGCGTAGATCCGCACAGTTGCTAATAGGAATGTGGGTCCCTGTTGCTACAGATGTGACGTGGGGGCAGACCTTCTTCTTTGATGTTGGACTTACAAGACAGAGAGGACAGGAATTCTCTGTCACTCTTTCGTTACCTCTGATGCAACTGATGAAAGCAGCTGTCCCAGTGGGAATTGGCATGGAGAAATGCGGCATGTGGAAACGGATCACTGGATGACCCAGAACCACCTCAAAGACAGTGAAGGAGATCAGGAAGGAGAGTCAGGATATGCCTTGTCTGTGAATTTCACCAATTTTCAAGAAAGCAAAGAATTAATACTTAACTCCAGACCCATATTACAGTAAGTAGAGACTTTAAAAAGTTCACAGAAAAAAATCAAATTGAAGTATGAGTTTATTTCGATGCCAAAAAAAATGAAGTCCATGCATAGTATTTTCATAATACACATTTTTCATGAACTTTTCGACATTCTCTGTAGCTATAAATACACAGTTTGGGAAACTACTTTTAATTTAGTCCATATTGTAACTTTTGTCATTCTCAACCACTGGGTTTCTTTTCTTTGTAATGTCCTAAGTTAAAGGTATCTCTGTTTATTTTTTATGTTTTTAATTGCCAGAGGGCACACGTGCTCACTAGAGAAAGAGAGAGACAAAGACAGAGACAAAGAGAGAAGGAGTTGGAGAAAGCAATTTCAGTGGGGTGTGCTCACACCACAATCCCATCTCCATTTCTCTTCCTGTCAGGATTTGGGGCATACACACATGCATATCTGGTGTGTGTTTTTTTAATTTATTTATTTACATTCATTCACTGTACATCACTACAACATACAAAATGAGATTTTCCATCCAGAGTACACTGTATATTGGCTCAATCAAGCACATCAGCATACATGTTATCATCAACAAATAATTTTCCATTTCTTATTTTCTATATATTTGCTTTTTTTTTCCTCATCCTTGATTCCCTATCTCTTACCCTCTGCCATCTCCCACTCTCCTCCCACACTGTCTCTGGTATCTATGTTTGTTTTCTATACTGTTTTCCCCCACATTTTATTGAGTCACTAAAGATCTTAATTAAACTGACTATTGTCATAGCAAGCACAGCTGATATATACATTTCTATAAACACAAGTCCAACTTTAGTCATAAGCCTCAATGAGTAGAATGAACATCCTATAAAGCAGCACCTAGCTGGGGCTATATATCATACTACAGGCATCAAATAGGTATTTTTTTTTCCTGAAACTTTTTTTTTCAACTTAATTTACATTCTTTCCTTAAGCATCATCACAGCATACAAAATGTGTTTTCCCATCCAGAATATACCGTATAGTGGCTTAATCATGCATGTTATTATCACAAATTTTCCATTTCTAGTTTCTAGAATTTTTTTTTTTACCCTATTTCTGACCGTCTGTCCTTTCCCACCCTCTACTCACACTATCTCTGGAATCTACAATTGTCTTCCATTCTTTTCCCACCCACATTGTATTGATAACACAATTTCTTAAATAATCTAACTACTTTCAAAAAATATGGAACGCTTCACGGATTTGCATGTCATCCTTGCACAGGAGCCATGCTAATCTTCTCTGTGTCGTTCCAATTTTAGTATACGTGCTGCTGAAGCGAGCACTATCTGGTGTGTTTTGTAAGCCACTGGGGCTGGGATTCAAGCCTCAGTTGATCAAGTGGGATCTGGCTCCCCAGTACTAGGCCACATGGCCTACCCCAGGTATCTTATCAACAACTTCCACTTGTTGAATATTATGCGTCTGCCTTATTATATGTCATTTCACATCACACAAACTTACAAAGTGGATATTATTAATATCCATTTTGCATGTAAGAAAATTAAGACTCAGAGCAATTAAGTAACTTGCCCAGTGTCACATGGATATTAGGGGTTAGGGCCAAGACTCAAGCCTGGGTCATTCAGACTCCAAACCTGTGTCATCCAGCCATGCCACAGGCCTCTCATGGGATGAGATAGGAGTAGGCACTAGGTGTTATAGGGCCACCCCCTCTACCAAGCCAGGTAGAGGCAACTGATGGCCACAGTCACAATCCATTGCACTGCTGTACGGACCAGGAATTACAATCATCGGAGGACAGTATCTGAATCTTCCGTGTGTTCCCTCCACCTGTGTGCTGGGGGAGCAGGGATTCTCTCCCTTTCTTCCATTGTCCTCTTTCTTCTTTGAAGATCTGAGTGAGGAAGGAGAGAGTCCTGCCACCCAGTCCAAGAGCATGTGCTAGCCTCTCTTCGTAGCGAGCTCCAGCAGCCTCTATGGGTGAACTCGGTGCAGATACATCAATGTCAGGGTCACCCCTGCAGACCGCAGGAACATCAGGCCCTGTAGGGTAAGATGAGCCCTCCATAGGATGTCCAATGTCTTCAGCAACTACTGAAAACAGGATAAAATCGGGGAAACTCAACTACCATGTCTCTCCACATCCTGCAATAAATGGCATCTACTTTACATTAGGTCCTTTCCTACATTAGACAAGAAAAGAAAGAATTTCCCTGTCTATAGAATGTCTCCAGCAAGCCCTCAGCTGGGAAAAGTCTGAAAAAATCCACTCACACCAAAATTTGAGACCACCAGTCCAAGTTATCAAATCAGGGATACTGAAGTCAAGAGAGAGGAGAAATAGCAAAGACATGGTTGATACTTGACCATGAGACATGGCAAAGACCTGGAAGGAGATGTCCTCTGGTCACGTGACTCCTCCAGGTTAATTGAGATATCACGGGTTCAGATCAGTGAAGTAGCAACCTGATGTAAAGTGGATCTCCCAGCCTCTCTCCTCAGAGATGGCTACAGAAAAAGAGGGCACTAAGGACAAGCCGTAGCCTCATAAATTGTGTTTAGAAACCAGCAGCAATAATCTAGCCTTGTTTATACTGCAGGCCCTGCACTTATCTCTTAGATCTGCACTTATCTCTTAGATCCTCACAACAGTTCAGTTTGATTATTATCCCACTTAACAGGTGAGGAAACCTAAGCTCAGAGATATCAGTTTGCCTTAAGAGCCTGTTGATAATAAATACTTCAGACAGATGTTAAGCATTACTCCTGAGGCCACAATTTTAACTGCTCTTACTCTGTTGCCAAGACAGAAAACGATGGGGAAGGAAGAGGGTTGACAAAACTAGATTCTAGGCGTGCCCAGCTCTAATGCTCTTGTCTATTTTAAACAGTCTTCGCTTGTGGTCACTTGGGGTGATGCACACTTATTTGTGTGCATGTTTACATACAGTCAGATTGACAGCCCAAGGCACATACATTTTCCTTTTAATGTCTGATGTGCGTGTGTGTGTGTGTGTGTGTGTCTGTACGTGCATACATGTGTCTGTAAGTATCCTTTGGGGATTGCATGCTCAGGAATCTGAAAGGCCCAGAGTCCAGGACTTAAGAAGACCTCAAAGTGACTTTATACCAGAAGAGTTGCAGGCTTTGGCAGGTGAGACACACAGTCAAAATTCAACCTAAATTCTAGGTTTGGGTCATCTGCAGAAAAGAATACCATGTCCATGGAGGGATCTCAGTTTAGCCAGACCTGGCATTTGCCCTAGCTTTCCCACCACCACCAGCCCCAACACACCTACCATCTTTGCAGTTGTGTGATACTAGAAAAGTTATAGTCACAGTACTCAAGACCAAAAATTTGCCAGTTTTTCCATTCAGATACCTAGCTACTTCTGGATACCTGGGCTGGGGCCAGGCTGGGGTTTGCAGGAGCACAGAGGAACAAATTTGAATCTGCCACTGCATTAGCTGTTTATAAGCACTGGGAGTTTCGTCTTAGTGATGGGAAAGCTCTGCCTCTTGCCCCTCCCCCACCCCTTTTTGCTGCATGCCCTCTTATGATAGCACTGTCCTCTTAGATGCTTTACTTTTCCAGCCATGTGCCTCTGGCCCCACCTAGACTCCCTGTGTGATGGGAGGTCATCTTAGGCCCCTGTCCCTCCTGGCCAGCTGTCACCACCACCATTACCCATGGTGTTTTTTACAACATTCAGTATTTTTACCATTATGTGAAACTTCCCTCCAAATTCTTCAATAAAAATTGCTTTCCAAGTTAAAAAAAAAAAAAAAAAGTTTCAACAAGTGGCGCCAAAGCATCCCTGAAATACAAGCCTCGGAATTGATTTATAAGAAATAAAATTCCATGAACAGCAGTAGTGGAGTGGACAAAATTTAGATGACCCAAATGAGAGAGAAATTGTCTTGGAGAAAAGAACTACAGAGAAAAGAGAGCCCAGGAGGGTGAAGTGGTGCCCTCCAGGAAGGAAGTCTGAGGAAGCCCAGGTATGTCACAACAACCCAAAAGGGAACCAGTTACAAACACAAAACCTGCCCAAGCTGGTGGCTTGAAATGGGACTTTATGGGTTCCACCTACATAGTTCCATCTTAGGGCCCTGTGCAAAAGCAAGCAGAGAGATTGCTCACCCTAAACATTAGTCCCAGGGATGCAGTGCTATTGGGGCCAATTCCAAAATGCCTCAACAGCAGTCTGGGAGCCATAGGCTGCAAGGGTCAGGAGGGCAACTAGGAGGCATTTAAGAATCACACACCTCCTTGCCATAGAGCCCCAGGGAAGAGTTTTAACCCAGGTTATGGCTCCAGTAACTTCATAGGTGAATGTGAATTGGGTAGTATTGAGTCTTTAATAATAATAGGGTCTGGAACCAGCAGACGGCTTAATGGTTATGTCACTAACTTCCACGTAGTTGAACGCGGTTCAAGTCCCAGACCTAGCGACTTAAAACTCACGCCAGGTGCATGTACATACTTGCCCAAAATCCCAAGAGGAGAATGGAGGAGAAGGGATTGCAGTATGGTCATATTCCCTGGGGTGATTTCTCTCTTTCTCTCTCTCTCTCTCTCTCTCTCTCTCTCTCTCTCTCTTTCTCTCTCTCTCTCTTTCTCTGTCTCTCTAGCAAGCGCACAGACCCTATAACAAAAATCTCTCTTGGGAACCAGCAGTTAGCATAATGGCTATGTCGCTGGACCCCCTCGTAGTCGACTGCGGTTCGCCCTCTCGGGCCCGGTGGCTTAAAACTCACGCCGGGCGCGTGTACGTGCGTGCCCAAGATCCTGAGAGGAGAATGGAGGAGAAGGGATTGCGGCGTGACCATCCCCCCGGGGGGTGATTTCTCGCTTTCTGTCTCTATGTCTCTCTCTGTCTGTCTGGCGAGCGCACGCACCCTATAGCGAAAAAAAAACTCTCAAAAACAAATCTCTCTTAAAAATAATAGGGTCAATTCTCTCACAAAGTGATAAGACAACTGGACGTACATGGGAAAGACTGAGATTCTCATCCCTGGACTACACCAGCATATGTGCCCACGATCCTGCTGGCTGAGGCTGGGAATGGATCATGGCAAGGAGACTCTGTTGGGTGGGGACTTCTCTCTTCCAGAATGAATGAATGAGTGGATGAATGAATGTTTTAAAAATTAAATAAAAAAATACTAGTCAACAAACTCATCAAGGGTTTAGAATGTGCCAGTCACTGCTCTATACACTTGCGTGTAGTAATTCATTCACGCCATACACAAAATGAAGATGATACTGTCATTGCATTTATGTTGTGACTGTTGAAAGAGATGAGATATGTGAATTCGTTTTTGTGAAATTGATGATATGGATGACTATGATAATGGTGATCATGGTGATGCAAGTGATGGTGGTGCCATTGAGGGTGGTGAGGGAGATGATGACAGTAATGGAGGTGAAGATGACAGAGACAGTCATAGTGGTGATGTTAAAATATATAATAGAGTAATGGATAAGGATGTATACTTTGAGTTACACACAGATTTGGTTCAAATTCTAGTTGTATTAATTCGGTGTGTGACACTAACTAAATTCTTCGAGCCTTAGTTTCTGTATCTGTAAAATAATCTCTCTCGCATGGTGGTGTTGGGAGTATGTCGCTTTCTTAGCACAATAACTGGCACTTTATACACCAATGGCTACAATGGAGGAGGGCGGCAGTGGCACCAGCAGCAGCAATGATGGCAAAGACAGAGTTCCCAGCAGAAGTCAAAGAGCTTCTCCACAGCAAGTGAGTCGGCTCCTAGTTACACTCTCACCACTCTTCCAGCAGACAACTTGAGAAGCCTTCTGGCTCAGAGGGTGCTTTCTATTGGCTGCAGTTAGTTCCAAGCACACAGGAAGGCCTTCCATGCTGTTGCAGGCACCTCCCACCTAACCATTAACCAGCCTGGCCCTAGATAGGCTGGAAAACAGACAAAGGTCATCTCTGGGGTTATTGCTTCACCTTCTCATCCGTAGCCCTGGGGTGAGAATGAGCAGGGCTTCGCTTTCAGTTTACAGTTTAAACTGACCCCTTCTTCACTAGAACCCTAATTGTTCTGCTGTCTCCCCCCAAGACCCACCCTGTACTCTCAGACCATTGTGTTCACCTGTCTGTGTCCAGTCAACATTTGCCATTGGGGGTTCTATGGCTTCAAGGTTATTGACAGTCATAATAGCTAATATGCATCATGTGCTTACTGTGGTCCGTGGATCAGTTTATTTAATACTCACAACCACCTTGTAAGTTGGGTAGAATTACTAGCCCCATTCTACAGGTGAGACACTGAGGCTCAGAAAGGTTAAGTGACTTTTGCTTGGTCACACAGCTTATACAGGGAAGAACTGATTCCTGATTTGAGATATGTTTGATCTGAGAGCCCAGGATGATTCCACCATATCATACTACCTGCCTTGCAAAGACTTAACCTGCAGAGCAAGAATTTTGAAGAGACAGGATGGATGGAAAGCTATTGCAGGGACAATGCAATTGGCTGATTCTCAAATCTTCCTAGAGAGGGACTCTCCATCACCGACTTCATTCATGGTTCCACTCTCATGGTCATTACGAATATTAGATGTCAGCGCCAGGTTCTAAGACATGCTTTCTGAGAGGGCAGATTTTTTTAAAATATTGCAGCAAGTCCTTCCTCCCCACAGTTCCACTTCCAGAATCTTACCCTTCAGATGTACTTGCACATGTGTCAATCGACATATGTACGAGTTACTCATGATTTATAATGGCAAAAAAATTGGAAGCAACCCAAATGTCTATCACTAGGGAGATGATTTAATAAATTATGGAATTTGCATATGATGAAATGCTCTGCAGCCATTAAAAAAAAGAAAGTAAAAAGAAAGCTCTATTTCCAGGAATATAGGATATGGCTATGCACAATACCTAACTAAGTGAAAAAGGTAAGGACGCATGTTGTGCGACCATTGCATCAATTAGGAAGAGGGGGAGAATGAATATATAGGTTGAGTATCTCTTATTCAAAATGTTAGGGACCAGAAGAGTTTCAGACTTTGGATCTTTGTCATATTTTGGCATATTTGCATATACATCATGGGATATCTTGGTGTTAGGATCCAAGTCTAAACATGAAATTCTCTTAACATTTTAGATAGACTTTCTATACATAGTCTGAAGATAACTTTATGCAATTCTTTGTATTATAGTGTTATGACTATGATCTGTCACATGAGATCAAGCATAGAATTTCTACCTGCGCTGTCATGGCACTTAAGAAGTTTTAGATTAATGTCTTTCCTCAGACCCTCCTCCGTCTCGGAAATTAGTTATTATCTGTTGATGATAACGTGTATAGTATCCCCAAGTGGACTGGTGAGAAATGTATTCATGTTGGAATGTTGACTTTACAAGCTAAGTGCTGTGCGTGATTGAATGTATAAAAGAAATTAAAATAAAGTAGTATAATATTTTTTTTTAAGTTTCAGATTTTTGGAGCATTTTGGATTTCTCATGTCTGGATTAGGGATGCTCAATCTGTGTACAATTTCTTGTAGATGCATAGAACCCTCTAGAAGGATATATAAGAAAGAGACCCGGGTGTCCAGGAGACAAAACTGAAACAGACACTTTTCACTCTGTCCCATTATGTGCCTTCTGGATTTGGGTACCTACACCACAATAAACTTACATGCATAGAAATAACCATAAGTAAATGTTGATAGTATGGTTTTTTTTTTTTTTGGAGAGATTTTCACTGTAGGGCGCGTGCGCTCGCCAGACAGACAGAGAGAGACATAGAGACAGAAAGCGAGAAATCACCCCCCAGGGGGGACGGTCATGCCGCAATCCCTTCTCCTCCACTCTCCCCTCGGGATCCTGGGCACGCACGCACACGCGCCCGGCGTGAGATTCAAGCCACCGGGTCCAGGACACGAACCGCGGTCGACCACGTGGGAGTCCAGCGACATAGCCATTACGCTAACTGCTGGTTCCCAATGTTGATAGTATGTTAACGAAGACACTGAAAATGGCACTGGAGACTCGAACTTGACTTCTAACACTTTGGACAAGCTATGCAATGTTTCTGGATCCAGGTTTCCTCAATTACGGGGTGAAGTGATACATACTTCCCTGGGCTGCGGAAAGAGTTAAGAGACAGAATACACCTGTTCATTCATGCTCCTGATATGTGTCGAATATCTGCTCTGGGCCAGGTCCTGGGCTCAGTACTGTCTATTAACAAGGTAGGTCCAGCAGACATGCCTCCAGATTGTGTGTCATACGATGGTCCTTACCATGGGCCCTTTCACAACACCAACCTGGAACAGAGAAGAGAAGAAAATTCCAGGTGGGTGGCATGAAAGTTCCAAGCCACAAATAAACCTGGAGAGTGCAAGGAACCAAAAGAAAACAAAACGGCTGGGGAGCAGTGAGCAAGGGAGTGATGGGGGGCATAAAGACACCCAAGGCTCCAGGGCCTATGATAAGAACCTGGAGTACTTTCAAGGTGCAGAGGGAAGCCAATGGTGGCCTTCTACCCAAGGCAGTGTGGCATGGCAGATAAGAGAGCAAGCCCAGATAACCAGGTCCAAATTCTGACCTACTTCCTGTGGATGCCTCTGGTTCCTGAGTTCTCAAAAAAGAGGCCGAGTACCTCTGTAAGGGTACAGTGAGGCACCTCTTAGCTCAGCCCGGCACCTCTCACACACTTACCAGCAGCAATAGCCATGATAATCATTGTAGTATATTTCTGAAAAATGGTTCCAGAGCAAGAATAGCCAGACTATGGCCCCTGGACCAAATCCAGCCCACCTCCAAAGTTCACACTGCCCACAAGCTAAGGACGGTTTGAACATTTTTTCAATGTTAAATCAAGCCAAAAATAATTTATGACACATCGAAATGTTATGAAATTCAAATTTCAGCAGCCAGAAATAAAGTTTTATTGAGACACAGCAACGTCAATTCATTGACATGTTATCTATGGCTGTTTTCATGTTACACAAAAACATGGTAGTTGAAGCAGAGGTGGTATGACCTGCAAAACCTAAATTATTGATTACCAAATCCTGTGTCGAAAGGTTCTCAGCCCCAGCTCTAGAGAATGAATTAGGGAAACCCAAGGATACAAGGAAGAAGTCCAGCTAGGAGGCTTCTAAAGTGACAGTGAAAGATAACAGTGAAAGAGAGAGAGATGGAAAGTGGGGAGAAAGCTTCTTTAGACAGGTTTTAGAAAACTAGGAGAAGCTTACAAATGCTGGGCCTTTTCGGTATTTCCTACGTTGGACACAGTCGTGACAGCTACTGTCTGTAGGACTGAAGAGGCTGTTATGGATTTGACATCAGCTCTAATATCCTATTATTCAGGACCCTTTATGATAGCAGCAGAGAGTGACTGCAGACTCCAGGTGACAGACGAGCTGATGGCCGTGCAGATATGCAGCACTGACATTTTAGGAGCAAGCTAGTGCTGGGCTATAAATAGAAGCGAGCGGTCATCAGGAGCACTCCTGGTCGAGGCCACCCACCTTCTGCACCATAATGGCAGGCCCCGGCAAGCGCTGGTCCTCGCCCTTACCCCACAACTAGCCCAAGTCAGGAGAGCACGATAGGAGTCGAGAGGGAAGCCAGAAAGCTGACCAGAGAATGACACTTGTGAAAAAGGCAAAGCGATCAGGAGTTTCCAAAAATGGTATTTAAAAATGTAACAGGTAGAAGCCAGCAGGTGATGTAGTGGTTAAAGCACTGGCCTCCCACAAATGTCAACCACAGTTCAAGCCCTGGATCTGGCGACTCGAAACTCACACCAGGCACGTGTGGATGCGTGCCCAAAATCCCTAGAGGAGAACGGAGGAGAAGGGATTGCAACATGGCCATCCTCCTGTGGAGGTGATTTCTTACTTTCTCTCTGTTTCTCTAGCAAACACACATGCCCTGTAGCAAAAATCTCAATAAATAAATAAAATAGTACTAGGCGCATACTACATGCCAGTATTGTTTAAGCTTTTCATATGAATCACTTCATGTAACCACGATGATCAACTTTACATGGTAGTGCTACTATGCTCTCTAGTTTACATGTGAGGCAAAGTTCAGTAACTTACCCCAGGCCGTACAACAGTGAGTGGTGAGCCAGGATTCCATTCCAGGACATCTTGGTTCAGGGCTCCTGAACTTGGCGCCTGTGTTTTACTATCTGTTCTAACGCTCGAGGAGAAGAGAAGCCTGACGCTTGCTCAGTAACACCATTTAGGCCCCTTTTGTTATTTTCCCTCACAACATCCATGCATCAAAATATTTTGTCTACAAGACAGCATTTATTATACAGCGATCGAGTCATTGTTTTCAGGAAGTCACATGCGGCTTTCAGTCCTCACTCATCAGCATGCACTGCCAATGCCCACACATACACACACACAGCACAGTCGCATCCAAGAGGAATTAGAATCTCCACTGGGCTCTTGTACAGCCTGCAAGCAATTCTTAAAGCACCCAGATCCCCCCATGAGCTCCAAACTGGGAGCCACTAGTCTCGGTGCAGCATTCAGGCCCTGTCCGGCTCCCCCTAATATAGCACCAGGTCACTGGTTCCACTTAGGACCCAGCCAAGTGGTGAGGGCATGATTATCTGCATGAGAAACAGAGGTTAGACATGTCAACATTGGAGAGATTTTCACTGTAGGGCGCGTGCGCTCGCCAGACAGACAGAGAGAGACATAGAGACAGAAAGCGAGAAATCACCCCCCAGGGGGGACGGTCATGCCGCAATCCCTTCTCCTCCACTCTCCCCTCGGGATCCTGGGCACGCACGCACACGCGCCCGGCGTGAGATTCAAGCCACCGGGTCCAGGACACGAACCGCGGTCGACCACGTGGGAGTCCAGCGACATAGCCATTACGCTAACTGCTGGTTCCCAATGTTGATAGTATGTTAACGAAGACACTGAAAATGGCACTGGAGACTCGAACTTGACTTCTAACACTTTGGACAAGCTATGCAATGTTTCTGGATCCAGGTTTCCTCAATTACGGGGTGAAGTGATACATACTTCCCTGGGCTGCGGAAAGAGTTAAGAGACAGAATACACCTGTTCATTCATGCTCCTGATATGTGTCGAATATCTGCTCTGGGCCAGGTCCTGGGCTCAGTACTGTCTATTAACAAGGTAGGTCCAGCAGACATGCCTCCAGATTGTGTGTCATACGATGGTCCTTACCATGGGCCCTTTCACAACACCAACCTGGAACAGAGAAGAGAAGAAAATTCCAGGTGGGTGGCATGAAAGTTCCAAGCCACAAATAAACCTGGAGAGTGCAAGGAACCAAAAGAAAACAAAACGGCTGGGGAGCAGTGAGCAAGGGAGTGATGGGGGGCATAAAGACACCCAAGGCTCCAGGGCCTATGATAAGAACCTGGAGTACTTTCAAGGTGCAGAGGGAAGCCAATGGTGGCCTTCTACCCAAGGCAGTGTGGCATGGCAGATAAGAGAGCAAGCCCAGATAACCAGGTCCAAATTCTGACCTACTTCCTGTGGATGCCTCTGGTTCCTGAGTTCTCAAAAAAGAGGCCGAGTACCTCTGTAAGGGTACAGTGAGGCACCTCTTAGCTCAGCCCGGCACCTCTCACACACTTACCAGCAGCAATAGCCATGATAATCATTGTAGTATATTTCTGAAAAATGGTTCCAGAGCAAGAATAGCCAGACTATGGCCCCTGGACCAAATCCAGCCCACCTCCAAAGTTCACACTGCCCACAAGCTAAGGACGGTTTGAACATTTTTTCAATGTTAAATCAAGCCAAAAATAATTTATGACACATCGAAATGTTATGAAATTCAAATTTCAGCAGCCAGAAATAAAGTTTTATTGAGACACAGCAACGTCAATTCATTGACATGTTATCTATGGCTGTTTTCATGTTACACAAAAACATGGTAGTTGAAGCAGAGGTGGTATGACCTGCAAAACCTAAATTATTGATTACCAAATCCTGTGTCGAAAGGTTCTCAGCCCCAGCTCTAGAGAATGAATTAGGGAAACCCAAGGATACAAGGAAGAAGTCCAGCTAGGAGGCTTCTAAAGTGACAGTGAAAGATAACAGTGAAAGAGAGAGAGATGGAAAGTGGGGAGAAAGCTTCTTTAGACAGGTTTTAGAAAACTAGGAGAAGCTTACAAATGCTGGGCCTTTTCGGTATTTCCTACGTTGGACACAGTCGTGACAGCTACTGTCTGTAGGACTGAAGAGGCTGTTATGGATTTGACATCAGCTCTAATATCCTATTATTCAGGACCCTTTATGATAGCAGCAGAGAGTGACTGCAGACTCCAGGTGACAGACGAGCTGATGGCCGTGCAGATATGCAGCACTGACATTTTAGGAGCAAGCTAGTGCTGGGCTATAAATAGAAGCGAGCGGTCATCAGGAGCACTCCTGGTCGAGGCCACCCACCTTCTGCACCATAATGGCAGGCCCCGGCAAGCGCTGGTCCTCGCCCTTACCCCACAACTAGCCCAAGTCAGGAGAGCACGATAGGAGTCGAGAGGGAAGCCAGAAAGCTGACCAGAGAATGACACTTGTGAAAAAGGCAAAGCGATCAGGAGTTTCCAAAAATGGTATTTAAAAATGTAACAGGTAGAAGCCAGCAGGTGATGTAGTGGTTAAAGCACTGGCCTCCCACAAATGTCAACCACAGTTCAAGCCCTGGATCTGGCGACTCGAAACTCACACCAGGCACGTGTGGATGCGTGCCCAAAATCCCTAGAGGAGAACGGAGGAGAAGGGATTGCAACATGGCCATCCTCCTGTGGAGGTGATTTCTTACTTTCTCTCTGTTTCTCTAGCAAACACACATGCCCTGTAGCAAAAATCTCAATAAATAAATAAAATAGTACTAGGCGCATACTACATGCCAGTATTGTTTAAGCTTTTCATATGAATCACTTCATGTAACCACGATGATCAACTTTACATGGTAGTGCTACTATGCTCTCTAGTTTACATGTGAGGCAAAGTTCAGTAACTTACCCCAGGCCGTACAACAGTGAGTGGTGAGCCAGGATTCCATTCCAGGACATCTTGGTTCAGGGCTCCTGAACTTGGCGCCTGTGTTTTACTATCTGTTCTAACGCTCGAGGAGAAGAGAAGCCTGACGCTTGCTCAGTAACACCATTTAGGCCCCTTTTGTTATTTTCCCTCACAACATCCATGCATCAAAATATTTTGTCTACAAGACAGCATTTATTATACAGCGATCGAGTCATTGTTTTCAGGAAGTCACATGCGGCTTTCAGTCCTCACTCATCAGCATGCACTGCCAATGCCCACACATACACACACACAGCACAGTCGCATCCAAGAGGAATTAGAATCTCCACTGGGCTCTTGTACAGCCTGCAAGCAATTCTTAAAGCACCCAGATCCCCCCATGAGCTCCAAACTGGGAGCCACTAGTCTCGGTGCAGCATTCAGGCCCTGTCCGGCTCCCCCTAATATAGCACCAGGTCACTGGTTCCACTTAGGACCCAGCCAAGTGGTGAGGGCATGATTATCTGCATGAGAAACAGAGGTTAGACATGTCAACAACAACGATAATTGTAACCACCGTTTATGAGCTGTGTGCCTTCAGTGTAATCTTCTCAGCATTGCTGAGTTATAGGTATTATTATCTCTGTCTTTTACAGAGGAAACAGAGTCAAAGGAAGGAAAGTACTTGCCCTAAGACCCCTAGAGAGAAAATGGCTGAGTCGGTATCACATCCGGGGTGCCCGACTCAAAGCCCCTGTTTCTAATTGCGAGGTCTCAGTGACTCCTCTTAGGAATAATAAGGCAAGTCCTGGGCCGGCTTCACGGCCCGTGGTTAAGATAGCTGGATCCCACATGGCTGGCCATGCAATTCTGGACTCAGTGGCTTGAGAAAGACACTGGATATGCGTGCATAAACTTCTAAAAGGAAAGAGACTTGGAGGAAAAGGGATTGTAGCATAAAGGTCCTTTGTCCTCTCTGTCTCTGGAAAGTACACATGCCCTCTGGGGAAAAAAAAATAAAGTAAACATGTAAAGAAATAAGGACTGTCTCAGGAGCAGTTCAGTTCAGTAAGTTTTTATTGATCATATACATACATGCTTAGTACCACGTAAAGCCTTGGGGGTCCAGTAAGACAAAAAAGGTCCCTGCCTAATAGAACTTGGAGTTCGAACTTTGACATTTTTTCATCGAGTAAATGTTTTTTGAGCATTTACTGTGTGCCAGAGCCAGACACCGTTCTAAGTGTTTGATGATACAACAGCAAGCAGAAAAGGCAGGGCTGCCACTCACGGGTTGGCAGTGGGTGGTGAGATCTGGGTTCAGAGCTCCTGAGCCTGACCACTAGGCTTCACTATCTATCTGGTCTAGCCCTCAGGGAGAGACTGACTGAGGCTCACTCAGTAACAACAGCGGGTTAGGACGTTGCAAACCTGTGGAACTGAGCATGTGGGGCAGGTCATGGATGAACTGAAAGGACAAACAAAAGTCCTACACACTCGGCCCCAACTGGTATCTGCTACCAGGCTTCCCAGCCCTCCAGTAACCCACCCAGGCACCTCCTTAGAGCTCCCTCCCAGGAGGGGCTGAGGGAGGGCCTGGCTGGTTGGTGGCACTGTATTGCTGATCCCCAAGGGCTCTCCATGGTTCACAAGAAGGATCATAAAGTCCTCAAAAGCGCTCCCAAGGAGATGAATTTTAATTCACTGTCATTTCAAGAACAACTGTGTTGGCAAGCAACATTTTGTCACGGGGAGGAGGAGCAGAAGGGATGTGAGGGGAACATGATGATGTTAAATGTCTGCTCCAAAATGTTTGGGAATAAGGGAGGCTTTTTAAATGAAGTGCCTCAGAACTGGAGGGTATGAAAGAGGGCATGGTTGAAAATCTGCATTTGATGGGCCGGCAGGTGGTGTGGTGGTTGGGGCACTGGACTCCTACATGTCCGACCACGATTCAAGTTCCAGACTTGGCGGCTTGCTTTCTCACTTCCCCTTTCTCTCTCATTCTCTCTCTCTTAAAGTTAAATCATAATAATAAATAAAGCTAAATCATTATTTTTTAAAAAATAAAATATTCAATAACCAACAGCAGGTTTTCTGCCCACAACCCAGGGAGGGGAAGTACCACCAGACCACATGGAGCGTGCGGCATCTGTGTTTGGAAAGCCCCTGAAACCAGCACCAACGTGCTGCCAGGAGGACGTGGTTTCCCAGAATCTGGGTTAAGGTACAGGTGGCACATTTAAT